ACATCCCCGTGTTTCGAATTGTGTGTAATCACATAAATCAGGCGCCGACCACTGATCTGATCGGGGCGGTTGGCGAGAACCACACCTGAAGGACCGCGTTGGCCTGCGCAAAAGCAGTGGTGCCCGTCCCCAATGCAACAAATACCCGCCGGCACAAACCGCCCCCCTCCCCCCCCGGCCTCTCGCAATCCAGAAAACCTCAAGAAACCACCACCAAACAACCAGCCGCCACGTGTCCTGATTTCTTGCACTGCATGCCTCCAGAAAGGAGGAGCAGGGAACACTGAACAGGGGCAGTGTGCAGAGAAGGAAGGTTCGTTTTGGGAGACGTGCAGCTCGTTGCAGTTTTTCTGGATGCGTTGTATTCTCTCCGGGATTGGGCGGGGTCTGCGCCGAGTGGTGTCCAGGATGGTGCACGCACACTCCCCTACTAACTGAATGTAGCGTGAGTGCTCCAGGGGAGGTTGCGATGGCTGTGGCTTTGTCTTCGAACCTGGGGGTATTGTTGCACGTTGTGGAAGACGAGGTTTTGCTAGCCGTTGGCTTGATCATCCTGAAACCCAGGGTGTCCTGGATACCCCCCACCGTTTCTGCTCAGGGCACTGAAACTAATGAAAAGCGAAACGCCTTCTGCTGCCCCCTTTTTCTGCATCCTTCACTTTCCTGTCCGCTTCATCGCTGGATTTCTGGACACCCCGTTTCCTTTTTTTCAAATTTCCGGCTTTTCTTGGTACTCTTCTGGATGAGCTGTTTCCCCTTCCCTCGCTACGTAACTTGGGAACATCCCCTTAAAATTTCAGCCGTACTCGAGTTAGCAATTTTCCCGCTAAAACTTTGACGTACTCTCCCTGGCGCCTCTCTCCTTTTACTCGCTGCGTTTCTTTTACGAGGATTCGAATCCCCAGGACTCGTGGATGTTTTTGCAAAGAAAGGGTTTCTCGGTCCGTGATACTGCACTGGTGCTTTGCCTTATTTGCGGTTGAGTCCCTATATTTTTGTTGTTTTCAGGATGGAGTGGCGCCGCTTCTGGATGTTCCCGATGCTCACTGCAAACGTGTTTTTTGCCAATGCAGAGGAAGCGGATATCTCGGAAACCGCACATATTCTTGCATCAAAATTTACCCTCTCGCAGTATGCAGTGGAGGGGATGGATTATGTGATTGATTATCGCTTATATAATGTTGGTGACAAGGTCCTCTTCATCCATCCCTTCTTTTTTCTTTTGCCTCAATTTTTTAACGCTATTGCTTCGTTTTTGTTAAATTTCAAATAAAATAAAATATTTATAAAGCCTCTTTATAATCCACTTCATTTTGAAAGCCGGGAACCCGGAAGTGGCCCAGCAATCACTGAGGATGCCCTCTCTTTGGAGACTCTCCCTCATAAGCAAGCTGGCGGCAAATCCTTAGCATGCACTAGTATCAATTTACAATCGAAACGAATGATCAACTCCTGGAACTCCTTGGGTAACTGGAAGTGGGTGAAAGGAGAGAGGGCCGGAGATGCTGGTTTAGGTCCAGAGGTCGTGACGAAAAAGCAAGGACTGGAATATTGACTGGGAAGGAGCTATGGCCTTTTTTGAACGTAGGGATTGAAAATCTGGCGCATGGAATTGTGGGAGGAAGGGAGGGGGTTGGATTTCTGATGCTGAGCAAGGAACTGGATTCGGAATGGGAGCGAGTAAGCATATTTGCACTCCAAAACCGTACTTTAAAAAAAAGATTCATTACTCGGTGCACGATTGTGATTCTCGAAATTCTCGCCCAAACCCACAAATCAGCACATTTTGTGCACCCAGATAGAGAGAGCCGTTTTTTAGTAATTACCAGTCATAAAGGGATTGGTTGTACCAGTGATGACGTAAAATCCTCGAAGTTCAGCATAAAAGTGGTTCCAATTCATAACTTCCTCTTTTCCCTAGCTGTTAGATTCGGACGCATCATTATTGTCCCTTTGTCTGTCTCATTGTTCCGATTGCTTAGATATTTAGCCACATTAAGTATTACTTTAATAAAAATCAATTTAACTTAGGTTTTTGTTCGGTCTAATTTTATTTATTAGTAGAATAAAAGGATTGAAATTAAGTGTCATGTGTGAAAGGACATTTTACGATGCAGTCTGTGTTTCATCCCTTAGCCTGTAAACACAGACCGAATTATGCTTACGGGTAGGAGTGGAAATCATTAGTACAGCCTCCTACTCGCCATCTACTGAACAGCCATGTAACTAATTTGCAAGACAAGCGAAAGAA